GCTTCCTTGGTGGAACCTGCAGATTCAGGTTCTTTCAAAGTCTCAGGCAAATCCATACTAATAAGTTCAGAGGAAGCTTTACGACTCTTTGACTTTCTTTTAGATGGGGAAGGCTTTCCTTCATTGAAAGCAGTAATTTTTGTTGTTGCTGTTGCATCCTCTGGAGATAAAGGACATTTCTGACTATCTGGCTCTTCCTTTGTCTCAGTTGGCTTTGTGGTAGGTAAGAATGATATATCACTCTCATGTTGTATTGTAGTTGGATTGTGATCTTTGTTAGCAAGACCAAGATAAACCTTTGGATGCCCTGACTTTGTGTCCATTATTGAAACCTCTATCAAGTTTTCATCAGTAGTTTCAGCTCTTCCACTATCCATAACTCCATGTAAATCTGGCTTTTTACCTTCAGTTTCTTTTTCACTTGTTTCTTTGATAACATCCGGAATTGATGGTGATGTCTGATTTTCATGCTGTTTCTTGGATTGTGTCTGTGCCAGTGAAGGAAATTCTGGAGAACTCATTAAAGCCTTTGACTTTCCTGTGCTTGGTGAAAATTGGCCTTTTTCTGTATCGGTTATTTCAGCTATTTTTTCTGGCATATTTGGAGTTGGAGTTGCAGCCGGTGTAGGTTTTTTTTTTTTCTTTTTAGTACCTTTGTTTTTGCCATTAAAGTCCAAAGAAGAAGTTTTGCTTTGAGGATCTTCCCTAGTCTGAGGTAACTCAGTATCACCAAGATCAAAGCAAAGTTCTGCGCTCTTTGATTTTCTCGTCATAGGCAATAATCTCGATTTTTCCATAGGTGTTTCAGCTGACTCTGATGTTACGTTATATTTGTCGGATTCACCTTTGGTCTCTGTTGACTGCACAGTAGCAACTTTTTCCAGTGGAAACATTGGCTCTGCAAGCTGAGAGACCTCAAAACTCTTGGACTTCTTACCTTTTTGAATGATTTTACTTTTTTCGACAGCCACTTTAGTTTGCTTTCCAGTCATTGGAGATTTCTCACTACTAGGCTTTTGCTTATTCTCTGCCTCATCCTTGGTTTTATTTTCAGCATACAGCTGTTCAATTTCAGTTTCTTCAGTAACAGCAGGAGTTTCAGTGACCTTGTGCATCACAGTGGGTTCCTCAGAAGCAGGCTGATTTGCCTCATTTGTAACAGGCTCACCTGTGATATCTAACCTTACAGTTTTGGTCTGTGGTTCTTGAGAAGTAGTAGAGCTTTGTATCACCACAGATTTTGAAGCAGAAGTAGGATAAACTGTTTTTTTCTCAGATGAGCGCTTGCTTTTTCGTGGTGGTGCCACCACAGAGGCCTTTGTCTCCTGCAGGTTCTCTGACGACTGGTTGTCAGGCAGTTTTGGTTTACTTTTTTGATTAAGTTCCTTGAATAGAGAGGTTAAAAAGCCATTAATTATGACAAACATATTTTCCTTAATCCAATTAAGATACAGCAATATATTAGATATTAAACTGCTTTGTTGTGTCAAACAATGGATGTTTATGATTTTTCTTATGAAATGTTCACGGCCAAATAATTTAGCACAAATACCTTTAGGCTCTGACTTAGAGAATTTTTCAGTGTGTCTGCTTCTCTGAGAGCTTCTGAGCCATCTTTTTCTAGTTTCTCAAGCAAGTCCAATGTCAGACAGGCCATTAGAAAATGTCGGTGAGAAAGTGCCTCCTGTAGGCTGGCTTGCAACTTTTCACCTTCCTCTAACATCTGCTAACATCAGAAGGAAAAACTGTTAAAAGTGGTTGTGACATATGTCTGATATTAAGAAAACAAACAGTACTCAGGTAAAATATTAATGTCCATTATTAATATTTAGGAACAGTAATACAATCAGTGTGTTACTCAAATAAGAAGAAAAGAGACCTGTACAGAGGAAAGGGACACAGATGGTTTGCTGTGGTTCCATTTTTGCAGAGCGTGAAGACAATCCCTGAGACATGTTGCTGTGTTTGTGCAGCAGGTAACCTGATGCTCACTCAGCCTATTTTTTAGACTGTGGATATAATGAACAACAATTTATTGTAATCTCACACTTAACATGTTACCTGACTATAATATACGAGAAAGAAAACATGTTTTTACGGGATGAAAAAAAAAGATAAAGAAGTATTTATTTTTCTAGTGCTGTAATTACACATCTGTGTGCATCTATATACATGTGAATTTTGTTTTTAAAAAAGGTCTTTCAAAACCAGCTGACACATTTATATAAGGTTAATATCTAGGTTATAAATAGAGGGGAGCTCTGTGTATCCATGCAGTTGAGCAAGAGCAGAATGACCCACTAAGGCATGTGGCTGGCAGACAAGAATAATTGAAGAGTAAATTGAAAGGGGCAGATGATGCTAGCTTAGAATTCATTACAAAATATCTATTTAAACAGGCTTACAACTTAAGAAACCCTAGTTGGGAGTTTGGCAATGTTTTGCTGGATGGTATCTTTTTCCCCTACTTTTTATACCATGAGGTAAATTTCACAAATATATATATATAAGAAATAAAATGTCATAACAATTTGGATTCAGAATGTTTCATGGTCTAACAAGCAGAGTCATAAATGTCATCATTTTCACAGCAGGATACCTGGCATGCTGTTCCCATAACGAGTCAACCCCACTGATGATTTCTGCTGGCAGCTCATTGGTCGAAGATGCCAAGTTTACTTCCTGTTGCAGGTCATGAATTTTCACACCCGAATCCTCTAGTGACTTCTCACAATTCTAACATAAAGACACAGCAACATCACAAAAGAGCATAGAGTTGATATTTCTGAATGGGAAATGCAATAAAGCCTATTCAAAAGGTGTCTTTCCAAGATAGAATGCAGAAATGCAAATTATTTTTTTTTTCAGCCATTACTTTTCAAAAATTTCTTGCTACTATAACTTAAAAAAATAGCTGAAAATTCCATCTGTGGTAATTACCTGTAGGCTGTGCCAGTGCTGTTCAAGTTGAGCGATATTGTTTTGTGGTTCACTATAACTGAGTGCCTGGTCGAGAGAGCGGAGCTCCCACTGCAGGGCTGCAATTCCCTCCTTCAGCCCCTGGGTCCTTTTGGCCAACTGACTGTCCTGTTCTTTTAGTTGCGTCTCACAGACCCTCAGACGCTCCCTCACCTCCTGCTCTGAGACAGAACAGAGGTCATGGAGATGGCTAACCTCTAGGGTCAGGGCATCCTGACCCCCAGGAGTGCAGAGGTACAGCAAACTGTCTCTGGCAGAGTCCAGCTCCCTCATCTCTCTCTGCTCTCTGTCCACCGTCTGGAGCAAAGCCTGGCACCAGAAGGAGGGAAGAGAACAAGAGCTGGGATGTGAGAAAGTCCAGTAAACCGGGACCGATATTTTAAGACTTTAAGTTTAAAAGTTGTAAAAACTTCTGTAATAATCAAACGATCAAACATTTCTACGTACTTCAATAACAGAGATGAATGAGAAAGAATGAATATGGATTTTTAAAAAGACAAAAAAACCCAGTAAATTCTGCAGTCTTCATTTATTAGATTGTCTAATGGTGCAGTTTATTTTGAGCACGTTATCTTTATTGTAATAGAACATTTTTAGTATTTTATATGTTAGTTACTAACCACGGATGCTTAAACAACCATTTGAAAGCATGCCATTTTCTCACCTTAAGGGTGTTCACAGCACTGTGCAGACTCTGTCTGTCTGCAGGAGGAGGTCCCAGGCTTTTAACCTGCTCCCTCAACCAGTCCTGGGCTGCTTCATGCTGCTCCACTAGCTGTGTGCACTGCCGCTCTGTCACAATGCCCTGCTCCAGGTTGGCTACTGCATCCTGAAGGCGACAGGTTTTTTTTTTTGTGTGTGATTAATATTTTTTTGAATTTTTCAGAACAACACAGTCCACTGTACATGCAAATCACATCAGGCAGAGCATCAGCACAACAGTAGAGGAGTGGGGAGACCAGAACAAACAAACAAAGGGAAAAGAAAAAAAGCGGGTGGGCGGGTGTTGTGGGGGACAAAAACAACCAGCCAGCATTTATCTATGTGGGACTTAAGGTGTATCTCACTCAGTGTTGTCATATAGATCCTCAGGATCCCAACGTCCATCCCACTCTAAGTTTTAGTTTGATCTTTTTTTTTATTTTGAAAAGGTAGGGATCCCCCTTCAGGTGGAAACTCTCCACTTTATTCAGTAGCCTGTATGAGAGTTGTTCGAGTGCTGCCAGCCTCCCTAGTTGATTATATCATAGAGTAACAGGTAAGTTGGAGTGGGCTCTCCACTGGGAAATAATGAGCTTATGTCCTGACGTTAATGCAGTCTGCATCCATTCGACAAGATTAGTTGGAAGAAGTTTGAGGAGTGATGGAGCCCTTAGAATGAATAATCTTGGTGAAAAGGGAATATCCCGTCGTATAACCGATTTGAAAAATTCATGAATCTCAGTTCAAAAATTTGGGGACTTAGGACAGATCCAAATATCATACAGGTCAATGTGTCCACCCCAGTCTGAGATCACCAGCATTCGTGGGTCTGTATGATGTTCACCCTGCATAGATCTATGTGCTTACCAGTAAATCTGATTCACCAGACTTACACTTACACTAGATTGTGTCGATGCAAGTCATAAATATTTGGACAGCGAAGAGTAAAACAATAATGTAAGTAAGTAAAAAAAACATTTACTTTTGAATAATTCACTTTTTTTTTCTCAGAATGATGTGAAGACAGATTGCTGAACTCACAGTGAGCTCTTTCAGCAGAGCAGGGATAGACTCCTCCTTAGCTGTCCAGGTGGGGTCTGACCAGCTTTGGTCCTGTGTGACTTCAACCAGCTCTGCAGCCTTGAGAAAAACAGTGAAATACATTGAAGACACTTAAACTCTGACTGGTGAATTTGATCAAATTTCCTCTTTGATTAATGTGTTGAGATTTTATATAGCCGTCTCCTAGTCGTACTGAATACTCAAACTGAGTTATAGGCTTGTGTTTTTAATCATATTTCTCAAGCTTTAACAATCCTAGAAGTTATTGACTGACACAACTTTAGCTAAAATTTCATGTAAGGTAATTACCTGCGTGCGGACGTTTGAGAGGACGGGGGCTAAGGCTGTAATCTGATCAACCAGGGCTCGGGCCTGTTCCACAGCTTGCCTCCGCTCTCCCAGGCCTGGCCAGGGGAAGACACGTGGAAGGTTGGATGTTTGCTTCTGAAGCTCAGCCAGACGGGCCGCAGCCTGGTCTCGCTGGTACTGACAGGATACCAGGCGTTCCACAACACTCTGCAACTTGCTAAAGATATTAGAAAGTCGAACTTAGAAAGGAAATGTAATGCAGCAACTGAAGAAATAATTGCCTTTGCGCTTGCCTAGAAATACCATGGACATAAATTCCAAACTGAGCACTGCAGATGGCTGCCCCTCCCTGAGCCTGGTTCTGCCAGATGTTTATTCCTGTTAAATGGGAGTTTTTCCTTCCCACTGTCGCCAGGTTCTTATTCACAGGCAGTCACGTGACTGTTGGGGTTTTCTGTCTGTTGTTGTAGTGTGTTTACGGTGCAATATAAAGTTCCTTGAGATGACTGTTGTTAGAATTTGGCACTATATAAATTGAACTGAATTGAATTGAATTTGGCTTTTTTGAGGATTTTGCAAGAAAATCTGAACGGAACCTTCTGAAAAACTGATTAATTGCAAAGTTTGACCTAATCTATGGCCTGATAAACCTGAATTTATCACAAAGTATGTCAGCTTTATACAGAGGTTTATTTCAGTTACATTGTAACCTTGCTCTGTAACCTTGCAGCCACAAAGGGTTGAACCTGAGCACTATGAAAAGATAGAAACCCTAGCCTCTAAATAGGAAACAGAAGAAATCTCCCTCCCCTGTAGCTCAACCCAGCTTTTTCTACCTTTGTGTCTCCTCAGCAGCCTGCAGCACTGCCCCCCACTGCTTCTCTGTATCTCTGACTGTCTGCTGAACCTCCAGCTTCTTGTCCTTCTCCAGGTCTTTGTGGTCACAGAGACTCTGCGCTCGCCTCATCAGCTCCAACAGTTGTGTCTCACCACTTGACTTTGAACTCAAGATGACCTAAAGACATTTTTTTCAGTTAGTCACATATGTATATTATGTATAAAAACTCAATACCTTTCTCAATAATTTCAGCTTTGTATTGTGATTTTATAATATTGTAGCATAGAACACTTTCTATAGTTCACTATTTTCCATGTTTCACCTGTGCTGCACTCAGTCTGTCCTGTAGTTGAGCCTTGCTGCCCTGAGTGCTCATCCCCATGGAATCAGCTTGTTTCTGCAGGCCTGTAATCCAAGCTTTAGTGCTTCCCGCATGAGCACAGAAACCCCCTAGCTCCTTGGAGAGTGAGTACTGGACCTCAGCTTTTTGCAGAGTGTTCTCAGCGGTTTCCAGGACTGTCCTCCACTGCTCCTCTGAGTCTTTCACTGCTTGCAGAGCCTTTTGCCTCACGGTCTTAGGCAAGTCCTCTTGGTCAGACAGACTCTGGCTTAGTCTTTTTAGTTCTTCCAGTTTAGAGTCTCCCTCAGGCTTACAGCTCAGGATGGTCTGGAAATAAAAACAAGTCTTAGCTCAATTTCTCTTTTATTGACATGCAAAATAGCCATATAAACAAGCAGTGAAGATAAAACATGGCAGTGACTGAGAATGCGAAGAAAAAAACCCCCCTCTTTTAGAAAAAAGTTCTTGTTTTCTTGTGGATTATAAATATTACTATCAATAAGACCAACAAGAATATTTTAAAGTATTCAAATGAAGGATTTAGACTTAAGGGAATTATACAAATCAAATACTTTAATCTAATCTTTAACCAAACAATATACATACATTTTATGTCAGCATCCTGTGTGTCATATATGTCTTTACCAAACCTTTTATTGTCCAAACTCACCTGTGCAGTGCTTATGATCTGTTCTGGGTCTTTCTGACTGCTCACAAAGACAAGGCTCTGCTGCTTCTCTTCCAACCACATTCTGGTCTTTTCTCTCGTGGCTTCAAAGTCTTGCAGCTGGTTGTCCAGAGCGCGTTGCCTTTCAGCCAGAACCATTACTTCTTTAGCATCTTTCTGGAGTCTGATCCACTGTTCCTCAGTGTCTCTTACTTTTTGTTGAATCTCTTGTTTTTTATGTTCATCATACTCGTGATCAAGGAAACTCTGGGCTTTTATCTTGAGATTTTCAAGGTTGAAGTTCATAATGGCCTAGGAACAAAAATCATCTTTAAAACTGGCTTCACATGACTGATAATGAAGCAACACTATACCATGCTTTTAGTTAGATACAAACCTACAATTATCCAACTATACTTATTATATTATATTTATTGCAATAATGCTACAGGAACAAACAGTGTTACAAACTGTGCATCCAGCAGACACAGAGTGGCTCTAAGCTCACCTGTGCTACATGCAGTCTGTTCTCGACCTCGGTTTCACTGCCAAAAGAGTTCAGCTGCTGTTGGAGGTCTTTTAGCCAGCCATCAGTTTCCCGCTGACAGGTATTAAATTCTTGCAACTGTCAAAAAGGAAAATATGTGAAATACACTTGATTCATCAGAAATAGAGGGGACTTTGTTTTACTCCCACCTGTTTATGAATGAGTACACCGTGCAACAATGCCACACCACAAGATGGGTAAACATTTCTATTATAAATGTTGAATAATGAATAATGCTGAATAATCCTAGAGTAACTTTGCTTGACTCACAGTTCAAAATAGACCTTTATTTATCTTACTCTGGACCCAAGTCAATCCAGAGTCAGACAGAAGATGTTTTAATGCTGAGTTAGCAGCCATCTGACAATAAGTTCTCTCACCTCCAACCTTCTCCTCTCAGTCTCAGCTTCTGCTGCGGCTTCAAGCTGTTTAGCATCTTGCAGAGCTGCCCTCCACAGCTCCTCCACGTCTCTGACTGTCTGCTTGACCTGCTCTTTCCTGCCCTCATCAGCATCTTTGTGGTCACACAGACTCTGTCCTCGTCTCCTCAGGTTGTTCACCTTAGAGTCACCTTCAGGCCTCAAGGTCAAGAGGGCCTTAAGAAAAAAACAGAAAGAAAGAAAAAAGTATTAATGACAAAAGGTCACTATATCATCTAAATCAAATATACTGATCAGGTATAACATCATGAGCACTGAGAGGTGAAGTGAATAGGACTGATTATCTCGTTATTGTGGGATATATTATGAAGCAAGTGAACATTTTGTAATAAAAGTTGATGTGTTAGAAGCAGGAAAAATGGGCACATGTAAGGATTTGAGTGAGTTTGACAGGGACCAAAATGTGAAGGCTAGACAACTGGGTCAGAGCATCTCCAACATGGGCTGTTTTGGGTCTGCAGTGGTTAGTATGTGTCAAAGTGGTCAAATGAAGGAACAGTGGTGAACCATCGATGGAGTCATGGGCAGCCAAGTCTTACTGACCCCCTGTGAGCGACGGCTGACCCATGTGCCCAGGTCCAACAGACAAGCTGTTGTAGCTCAAACTGCTGTAAACGTTCATGATGATTCTGATAGGAAGGTGTCAGAATACACAATGCATTACAGTTTGTTGTGTATGGGGCTGCAGACCTGCAGACCAGTCATGGTGCCCATACTGACACCTGTCCACTGCCCAAGGCTACGTCCACACTAATGCGTTTTCGTTTGAAAACACATCGTTTTCTCTCCGTTTTGGACGAGAGGCCAAAACTGAGACGGCGTTTTCCCCAAAGGAAAACTCAGCGTTTTGAAAACGCTTTCAAAAACGAATACATGAAGACGGTGCGTTAGCGTCGCAGTGTGGACATCGAAAACGGAGACTTTCGATGACGCATTTTAGTGATGTGATGCAGTCACGTGACCAATTAAACTAAGATAGAGGAGGGCATTATACAGCAGTTGTTTTGTTTGCTCTCAATTTTGGCAGCCCTATTAAAGATTAATATCACTTTGTACATGCTTCAGATAACTTTTCTTCCAATTCTTTAATTCTCACTCGCTTTTGCAACTTTGTACTTTTGTGTCACTCACACCAACAACTCCACCTCGGTGCTTTTCCTCGACATTTTGTCGCATGTTTCACAGAGCCAGAAAGTAAATAAACGGCAGACAGAAATGAGGCAGGACGAATCTTCTTGCGCTTCACGCATGCGCAGTACTGGAATGTAAACGTTTTCGGACGTTTCAATGTGGATGCACAACTCTGTGAAAGCGACTGAAAACGCTAGTGTGGATGCGGAGCGTTTTCAGATGAAAACGCAGTTTTCAAATCTATCCGGGCTGGTGTGGACGTAGCCCAAAGCACCAACAAAAGGCACGTGAGCATGTGAACTGGATCGTGGAACAATGGAAAAAGGTGTCCTGGTCTTGATGACTCACATTCTCTATAACATCACATGGATGTCTAAGTGCGTGTGCATTGCTTACCTGGGGGAACCAGGATGCACTGTGGGAATAAGGTAAGATTGCCGAAACAGTGTGATTGGGAAATCTTCTGCTGGAAAACCTTGGTTTCTGCCATCTATGTGGATGTTACTTTACCATGTACCACCTAGCCGAATACTGTGGCAGACCATTTTACAATCTGTCATCAAAACAATATCCCCTGATGGCTGCGGCCTCTTTCAGCAGGATAATGCGCCTTGCCACAAAGCAAAAATGGTTAGGAATGGTTTGAGGAGCACAACATGTTGGAGGTGACTTGACCAAACTCCCCAGATCACAACATCTTACAGGACTTGAAGGATCTGTTGCTAATATCTTGGTGCCATATACCACAGCACACCTACAGGGGTCTTTTGAACTCCATGCCTCAATGAGTCAGGGCTGTCTTGGCAACAAAAGGGGGACCAATGATCATAATACTATGCCTCAATGATTGATTCACTCTTTTGAAACTCGGTAAAACAACAATTGTCAGAACTGGCTTACTTGACGTTTACGATGTATCCTGTTAGAATCATTTGTCATTGTTCAGAACAGAATGGTGACTTTAGTTTTCACTGTCATTTCAAGACATGATCATTCTAGATGTCTTGTTGAAGTCACTGATAAAAATTCTGAAAAACAGTGCTACTTCTGTACCCTACTTATGTAGTTACATTGAAACAAACCTGTGCTGTGTGGCATCTCTCTTCAGCTCTTGTGTGACTGCCCACAGCCTGTAGCTTCTGTTGCTTCTCTTTGATCCACATCTCTGTGTTTTTACTCTGGACGTCAAAGTCATCAGAAAGACTCCTGACTTCTGCTTGATTGGCAGCCTGTTGAACTGTTGTCCACTGCTGCTCTGTGACTGTCACTAGCTGCTGAACCTCTAGTTTCCTACTGTCTTCCAAGAGCTTGCTCAGATTCTCAGCCCGTCTCTTCAGGTCGAGCAACTGGGACTCTCCTTCAGGTTTGGAAGTCATGACAGCCTGAAGGCAATGACACAATCAAATAAATCAAAGTAAGAATTCCTGTTACAAACTGCAATTAAAAACTGCTGTAGAGATCTACAGTATGAGCATATATCAGTTTTATAAGTTTTACAAGTTTCATCAATTTCTATAATATATTTTGAAGTTAGGTCCCAACTTGTAAACTCACCTGTACTATCTCAGACCTTTCTTCAAAGTGCATATGACTACTGAGGGACAGCAGTTTCTGCTTCTGCTCTTTGATCCAGGATTGGATTGTTTCACTTTGGGTTTTGAAAGCATCAAAATCTCTTTTAGTGGCCTCTTCAGTCTCTGCCTGTTTGAGAGCCTCTTCAGCACCCTGCAAGGCTTTCCTCCACTCCTGTTCTGTGTGTTTGACTGCATCATGAAGCTTTTGTTTCCTGCTCTCATCCAAACTCTGGTTGTCACACAGACTCTGGCACAGTTGTTTAAGCTCTTGGAGCTTTGACTCTCCATTAGGCTTGGAGCTCAGAAAAGCCTTAAGAGAAGAGATACCCTGTTAGGTAACCACTTTGTTTTGATCCTTGAAATACAAGCCCGTAGAAGTGATTCTACAAACTACAACCCACCCTTACCAAACTCATCTGCATGTCAATTTACACTCACTTGTGCTGCCTGAAGCTTTTCTTCAACTTGCACAGGGCCACTGATAGACTTGAGGTTCTGGTCCTGGTCTCTGATCCAGGACTGGACACTTTCATTGTGGGTTTGGAAAGCTTCAACGTCTTTTTCTAAAATGGCTTGCGTCTCTGCCTTTCTGAGAGCCTCCTGAGCAGCCTGCAGGGCTGTCGTCCACTGTTTCTCTGTGTCGCTAACTAACAGCTGGACACTTTGTTTCCTGGACTCGTCCAGGCCTTCCTTCTCACACAGGCTTTCGCTTTGTCGTCTTAAGCTGCTCACTTTAAAGTCTCCCTCAGGTTTGCAGCTAAGGATGGCCTGGAGACAAAATCATAAAACGTGTCCGACATATTTAACTCCAGACAGAATATCATTATTTTAATACTTTAAGAGATGAGCTAACAATACACCAAAAATATTCCCAGAAGAAAGCTTTATTAGATTAGACACCACTTTCACTAACTTGTGCTTTGGACTTCATCTCCTCCATGTCGGTGTCTCTGTCTGGAGTGGTGAGAGGCTGTGATAGTTCACCGATCCAAGTCCTGGTGCTCTCTGCCTGAGTATTAAACACATTGTATTCTCCATCCAACACACTCTGGGCCTCAGCCTGATTCAGCATCCTGCCCTCCAGGTTTCTGTAGCGCTGTATCAAGTTATCAGCGTCCTTCAGGAGGCTCTCAGATCTGACACCTTGTCTGCGTATTGATGCCAGCAGCTCACTGAGGGTCTCGGCTCTTCCACTGTTGCACGGACAGACAAAGACAAGTAAGACGGCACACAAAAGAAATAGAAGGGATAACGTCCTCACGCAGCATATTATGCATCCAAATTTTTCTGTAATAGACAGGTTGAGGTCTATGTTGTGCTTACTTCTATTCTATTTGGACTCTTTCCGTTAACATGAAACAACTATAAAAATTAGAGAGATGTGCATATCTTGGAAGTCAGCAAACTTTTCTGCTTGTGCGATGGAATATTTCTGGTTCTGGTTTTATGAATGTTGAGGATCACCTCTCATCCTGAAGGTCTTTCAGAAGTTGTTTGACTTTCTCAGACACCACAGACTGTTTTTCTTTGTTCTGAAGCCACTGACGAAGGCTGTCGTGCTGCTTCTGCAGACTATATTTTAAAAAAGAAAAAAAAACTTAAAACAAACACATTCTGTTTGTGGAAATGCTCAAGAAAATGTTTTATATTATACACGCGTGGTTTAACAGTATAGCTATTATATTAGCAGAAGCAGGAATGACCTGTCCAAGTCGCTGAGCAGTGACTCCATTTGTTTCTGCCGGTTTTGGCAGTGGGTTCTGAACGTAACCACTTCCTCCTGCTGCTCCTGCATCCACCCAGTAAACTCAGAGAGCTGCTGAGGTGGAACCTGCTCCCTGCCTCTCTCCAGCTGATCTTTCAGCTGGTCAAGACGTCTCTCTGCATCCTTGGACTTTAAGAAACTCTGATGAAAGAAAACATGAACATCCATCTGTCATATAAGAGTCTATAGCATCTATCTAACTTTAAAATTATCCATCAACTTACAGCCAGTCTTTGCAAAAACGTCTCCACATCTGTTCTACTCTCAGGGTTCTCGAAGCACTCATTGACGGCTAGCTGCAAGTCCTGGAACCACTCCTCGAATGACTGCTTCTCATCTGGGAACATTTTTTTTTAAATTACTCACACACACAATTGAATTAAGGAATACTGAGACCAAAACAGGTCCCTGCCTTCTAATATCTGAGTCAAATATATAGAAATTTCTATTTAACAAAAGAGAAACAAAGACAATATCCTGCTTGTTGATCAGACACGTGGAGATCCCAGTCTGAGTGATGTTAGTGTCCAGTGGTTGCCAGGAAAAGTTACGCTGACAGTATCAGGCCTGTTATCCTGTTAATCTTTCCTTAATAGCCAAAAGTCTTTTATTTAATCTTTAATTTTTTAACCATTTTTAAAAACACGTTTCATTTTCATTTGTTGTACTTCTGTTGTGCCTATATGTGATTGATGCTTGTCTTCTCTCTGTATTTCCTAATTCAATGCTTTTTGCCAGACCTCTGATAAGCAACTGATTAAAAGCACATTTTCAATACTAACCTCCGATAACCTTGAGCAGGCCTTTGTCCCTCTCCTCTCTCTTCAGCTGGATCATGTCTTTGGTGCGCGAGATTGCCTCCGTTAGCCTGCTGCAGTCAACAGAGAGTGCCTCAAGCACCTGAGGGCTGGCCACACTGGAAACCAATCCCACCTCCTTCAACACAGCCTCAGCCTGCTCTTCCTGAGACTCCAGGTCGTTGCACAGATCCTGCAGCGAATCATTATAAGTGGTGATCATTCAGGAGAACTCACTAGTATAGGAGCACCATGCTGTCCATCTCTGTCAACAGCTGCATACCTGTATCTGGGCTTCCACATTTGGACCTGAAGCATTAGTCTCGTTGATACGACTCTGGATGTTCTCTACCGCTGTCTGACAATCCTCTACCTTCTCGGCTAGATGCTTCTTCACAGCGATTAGCTCCTCAAAGACATCTGTGCAGTCGGTAAACAGTTCCTTCACCTGCTCCAGTCTCTTTCTCAGCTGGGTTTCCATTACCTACACGGAACAGAGGAATGATAAGAAGAGAAGCACGTTACAGGGGAAATAATAATATTTAAAAAAGTTTATGCATGAATAACTACATAAAATGAAATGGTGTTGTAAAAGTCTCTGTTTCATCTCACCTGTAGCTCCAGTGGAGCTTCCTGACTTTGCAGCATCTCCTGGATCTCAATAGACTTCTTGTGAAAATGAGTGATGTTCTCCTCATTGGCCTGGATTTCATCCTGAACACAACAAAATACACAAATGTACGGACAAGAAAAAAATCACAAAAAGTGAAACTGGAATTATTTCAAATTAACAGATGCTTAAAATCGAGCTGAAAAATGATTGAAGAACAGTTAAAAATATCAGGTTTTACTTCACTACCTTCATGGTGAGTACTTGTTGCTCATTGTAGAAAGCATGGCTCTCTGCAAACAGGGTGAGTTTGGCCCCGGCCCAGCTGTCCACCTCTCCTCCCAGCATCAGCTGCTTCTCCCACAGCTCCAGGCCCACTCGTAGGTTATCCATGTAGGCATCTGTCTTCTCTGTCACCTGCAGGGGCACCAAAAGATCACTAAAATTTAGTTAAGGCCAGCGATATAGAAATATATAAATAGAAATATTCCAACCACGATCCAACTACGACTTTAGTTTCTCTGTTCAACTTTGAGTTGTACTTCTAATATTTGTCACAGACAGAGCTGTTCTGGAGACACGAAACACTGGATCAATGTCAGACTGACACCCAGTGAAAATACTGCCATTTACTGAGGATGTTAAAAAATCCAACAAGCTTGTGAAGGTATAATTTTTAACTCAGATACTAAGCTGTCAGTGTCAGTGAGTCTGATCAGTCTCCTTCCCAGCATGCTTAATGTACAGTTTTAGTAGAACTCTTCTGTTTGTTTACAAGAACGACATCTATAAGTGTCAGTGCATAGATGCATACGTCCAGCCAGCTGTCCATCAGCGTGTCAGCCTCTGCTTCAAATGGAGATTCGCTGCAGTCTGGAAACGTCTTCAGTTCAGTCTGCAGCTGTTTGCAAACACTTCTCATCTCTTCCATCGGCCCCGCAAGACCAGCCAGCTCCTGCTTAATATCACAGACCTGAACAAATGTACACGTGTTAACATACAGCACTTGTAAGTGCACACCGAGCACACCAATCTGATATTTAGAAAGTGTCTGCCATCTGCTGGTTCATTCCTATTAGTGCATACAGTAACAAATGCCCTTAAGCTGTTTTAGGTAACCAATACAAGAGTCAGAATATATTGAAACACAATGCAAATACATCTACCTTTGCCATACTCCTCTGCAGGTTGTCTTTCCCCATGTAGGATGCCTTATCGCTGATTGTCTGCTCTGCGTTCTGGATGGTGCTGCTCAGGAGACTCCGGCAGGTCTGGAACTTCTTCAGAAGCTCCAACAGTGTGCTGTACTGCTTCCTTCTGCAAGAGTGAGAAAATACCAAGGAAGATTTGAGCATTCGGATTGCAGTGTATAGAGAAACATAATAAAGGTTTACTTGAACTTAAATGCATTCATTTCTAGCAGTTGAGGACAGCATATAAGTCAGTGTTGCTCATTAATGACTTAAATAATAAATAAATAAATAAAATTTTATTTATATAGCACCTTTCTAGACAGAGTCTTAATTTAAGGTTCTTGTGCCGACGTTACCTGTCAGAAAAAGCCTGCTGAGTCTCCTTCCACTGAGCTTCCAGCTCCTGAAGGAGATTTTCTCCTCCTCCCTGCTTCTCTTGGACTTCACGGAGGCTCTGAAGCTCACAGTTCTGAGCCTGCAGCTGGCCTTCTAAATCCAAGAGGGCACGAAGCCTGGAAAGTGCAACAAATTCAGATTTTAAAATCTAAACGGTACATTCTGGGACTACATGTAGTTTCCCATTTTCACATATCAAAACTGCTTCAGGATAGCAAAAGCACTATCGCACTAAAGGGACAAACCTGTGCTGCAACGCAGGCATGGTGGGCTCTTTGAGGCCTTGCGCTTCAATCGTATCCTGCAGCTTCTTCATCTCCCCCAGCATCGTCCTCTTCCTCAGGCCCAGGGTTTTGCTTTGGGTCTCCTTCTGAAGGACCTTCTGCTGGCTGACCAGCCCACTGTCAGCCTCGTCCAGCCTTCTCACCAGGACGTTCACCATATCGAGGCAGGAGGCTGGGATACCATCCCTTGTGACTGTGAGCCGAGCTCCCTGCAGGAGTAGATCCAGCTGAGGTGCCTTCTCTTTCAAACTGTCTATGCTCTGCCTTATCAGAGCCAACTTGGAGCGGCATTCCTGCAGCACCACAGCGTCACTACAGGGTGGACCTGGGATACTTGAGATATCCTCATCCACAGTGCGCAGCGACATAAGAAATCGGTCGAGGGCACGGGCAGCTGCTTCGCTCTTCCGGACTTGCTGCCGGAGTTGATCCAAGCTGGTTTTGTGAGCCTCAAACTCACGGGACAGAGGGAAGCGTTCTCTGGGATCCAAGTCGCTGGATTCAGGGTCGAGACGGGACAACTGGTCCAGTTCACTCTGTATGTTGTCATCCAGTTCCTTTAGCAAAAAACACACAAGGTGTAGTGTGAGGTGAGATGCCTATAGAAGTGAGATTGATTGATTGATATCTCTAAGAATTTGCATTTATTGGATTTATCTTATAAAGGCCAGCATCACTGATGTCTAAAATCTATCTGTACTGTGGTGTTTAGGAGTTGATGATACAGGGGACTAGGAAATCCAACACATAATAAATATTAAACACCAAATTGTACGATTTATGCTAAATCAGTAGCTTGTTTATGTGTACAAGATGCATTCAGCTTGTTTTCAATCATCCAGTTATTGACCAGTATGTTTTTTTCCAGCCGTGTGAAATTTTAAAATGTGCTGATCTCTGCAAAGACTTCTTGTAAATCCAGACTTCATATAGGTGTTAACGCATGTGCTTAGACAATATTTGTGTGTCAGACTGACAAAATTAAACAAAACAAAACTGTGTATGGCTAACAGCAGACCTTTATATCTTTCAGAATGTTAGTGTTGGCCAGTGTGAAGCCAGTGATGTCTTTGGGCTGTCTCAGATAACGGTCCAGGCGGTCGGTGAAGTCCACCATGTGATTCTCAGTGGAGTCAATCTGCCTGAGTGCAGAGCCCAGCGAGCTGCCTCTCCTCTGAAGGTTGGACTGCTGGGTGCGCCACTGCTCCTGCAGCTCCGCCTTCTCCTGCTCCAGAGAAGTGTTTCCACTCAGCTGGGAACACTGAGAGCACTGGTTTGCATACTCAGACCAAAGACACTCAGTCTCTTGTCTCAAGAACTAGGAAGAAAGGAATTTAACTCAAGTTTATTGGCCGGTTGTGGGGATTGAGTCATTTTTCTCAAAGGTTCTTATAGCATGTCATTTATATTTCAGTCCAGTTTGTTTCTGATAGAGTGGTAATTATAATAACATCATTGATAATAACATCATTATACCTGTATTTCCTGGAGCCGTGTATGCAGGCCTTTCAGAGAGACTGAGTCAGAGGGGACGTCCTTGATGCTCTGTTCATTTTTAGCTAGTTGGGCTTGCAGAGCCCTCTTAGCATTCTCATATCTGGAGAGTTAAACCAAAAATAACTTAAAACTTAACTTAAAAATTTAAGGATTAAATATAAAACCATCCAACCTGTTTTTTGATTTGTATGTTGCCTTTGATTATAAAACACAAGACAGCTAAATTTCACCTTTCTAAAGCTTCCTTTTTGGTTACTTCTTCCTCCACAGACATCTGCTTTTCAGTCTCCCTTCTCTCCACAGCAACTGTCTTCACTGTCACCTGAGTCACCTGGAAAAACAGCAACAGGATGTTAGCGATTATTTCAGACACATCTGCACACATCGGCTTCAGGATTTAAATTCAAAGATTGGTCTGTATTTCTTCTTGCTTAAAATGTGTTGAAGGAGCTGTGACTGTTTAAATCTATAGAGAGAATCTTTTTAATAAGAATTTTTAATAATAGTGAATCATACTTCAGCTAAGGCCTGAGGTTTGTCACTTGGTTTGGTAGGCTCCTTCTGTGTGTTGGGATCCTCAGTGAAGGCAACAGGAATCCTACAGAATTGAAATTGATTTAAACTTTCTACTATATTTTGAATAAATGTAAATGTAACTTAATGCAATATCTGCAACATAAATCATGCACAACCAAACGTTTTACTCAGTATTAAGAATTAAATAAGGCATTAAAAAGGTTGTTTTGAAGATTGCATGCCAAGTCGTTGCTGTTTTGAAACCTCTATGGAAAGCCTCACCTAGATTCAGGGAGTGGTGTGTCTTGATCTCCACTGAACTGATGCTGGATAGCAGCCAGCCTCTTTTCACACTCCCTCAGCTGCGTCTGAGCCAAGCGATGAGCATCCTCCGGGCTTAGGGTGTCACACAACTCTTTCAGTGCCTGCAGGTGCTGTTCTGCTTCAGCAAAGTCCGCGGAGAAGCAAGCCTGTTGAATGATTTTAATGTGAAAACAGTAAGCACAAAGGCATTGCAGCGCTGCTTTGACTTCAGGCGATCCATTGAGCCAAATCTTCTTTTTTTGTTAAGCTTTTTATTTATTTTCTTGCGTTTTTATTAGATTTATACAACTATAAATTAGTTATATGTGTGACCTGCTTATTAGCATCCAATATCATAAAAGAAGGTTTGGCAGATACATTGCACCACTTGAGCAAGAACCCAGATGGCAGCTGGCAACAGATGTGCTGCACAAAATCATAAAAGAATGCTGTTTTATGCTTACAGAGAAGATGTGATTTCATCTTCATTAGCACATATTTTCATTTAATTCATTGTTTTAAGGTCCCGATAATGATGGTGTTGTTTGTCGTTTTCAGCTTAAGATAATAAAAAGTGTCTGAAACTGTAAACATACCCAAACAAAACTAGCTAAAACAGCACTCTCTTAGAAACCAGCTGGAATAAAGTATTGCTATTACCCTTCCCACTGACAGCTTCCTTGAAGGCATACAAAGAAGATGGAAAAGACAAAGTTAGACAAGCAGAGCAGAGAAAACTGGCTGAATACCCATCCTTTGAAGCACCCCTGCCAAGAGTTCAGCTTTGGTCATTTAGCTACCTGAGCTTGGTTTTCTAAGCTGGTGCTTAAGTGCATCTCACAGCGAAGGATTGCTGCATTAAAGTCTTTCCTTGTTACTTCAAACTGTAATTGTTCCAAAAAGCCCGAGATCTCAGCTCTGAGGGCCTGGGAGATAATATATACAATGAATATATATATATATATATTCGAAAAACGAAACATGATAGAATATAGTATTGACTAAAAGGTTAATAATGTTGAATTGTTTACATCTGTGTCAGTTTGCTAACATTTCTTTAAAAACAGGCTTCAAAGGCATAAAATAATTGCCAGTTTTAGTTTGTGGTTTAAATATGCATATGCAATTAACTGAGAGATGTCAAAATCCCCACCTCCCACTGTGTCCTGACAGATTGGGTGAAGAACTCCATATCTCTGAGCTGTGAGGGGGTGCAAAAGGCCTCCATGCCATTAGCTGCTCGCAAGAACTCCTCCAGCAACTCTGGATCAAGTGTCCTCAGAGTTTTCTGTGTTTAGACACAAAATAGTTACATTATGACTCCTCTACAGAAACTGTATTTCATGTTGTTGGATGTTTTTTTTAAGGCAAAGTAACTACTTTCTATTTAAGACATCAAACAATGTGGCTATAAATGTAGGGTAGGTAAAGAGACTTGTAAATTCGCAAAAATTGGCAAATAAAACTTATCAATCATGATTATTCACTAAATATGAAATGTGCAGAAGTCATTGCCAATGGTTAAACTTACCTCCTTTACTGAAGCTTGCTCAGCTGATACACGCCTGTCTTTGAAGATGTTGATAGCTTCCAGGATGTGCGCCTGCAGGCAGTGTTTGGCCTCCTCAAAGCCATTTCTAGCTAAAGCCTGTGCCTTAGTGTAGGCCTCTGTGTAGGCCTGGGGAGGTGCTTGAGCCAGAGCAGGAGGTTTGATATTAAGATCTGGTGACTCAGCCTGGGTTTGACGCAACACATCGATTTGAGAGACGAGAATAGTCTGGGAGTGTTGAATTTTCTGTTTCAAAGGAGACTGGGTTTCAGTCTTTGGTGGGTCAAGTGGTTGAGTCTGAGGTCTTGCCTGTGTGGGAGATTGAGTCTTGGATTGTGGCACTGTTTGGGCCGTGGGAGGCAATGACACCGGAAACTGAGGATGGTGCTGTGGGGATAACTGTGCCTGAGATTTGGGTTGGAACACTGGTTGGACTTTGGGTTGGACTGGTGACTGAACTTTGGGCTGAGTTGGTGATTGAACTGTAGGTTGTAATGGAGGTTGGGCTTGCACCTTGGGTTGAGGGGGTGATTCAACATTAACTTTAGTTAGTGACTGAGCCTGTGGTGGCAATTGAGATTCTGGTTTAGGCTGTGGCAGTGATCCGGGTTTGTGTTTAATTGGTGACTGATCTATTAGTTGAGGTGTCATTTCAACATCCTGTTTTGGCTGTAGAGGTGAGTTACCTTTTACTTGAGTTTGTGACTGAATCGTTGGTTGTAGCTGAAGTTGGGGCTGATGCTTGGGCTGAGAAGTTGATTGCTGGAATTGAATATTAGATTGAGTCCCCTGAGTCCTGGCAAAGGGCTTTTCTTGAGCTAATGGCTGTGCCTGGACGTGTGTTTGGGACTGGGCCTGCAAAGTTTGTTGCTGGGGCTGTGAAGGAAGCTGAGGATAGGCTTGATGTGATGGTTGTGACTGGAGAGATATCTGTGTTTGAATCTGAGGTGGAGAGTGATGTTGAGCTTGGGGTTGATGCTGGACCTGTACATACTGCTGAGACTGAGGCTGCTGATAAGACTGAGATGGCGCTTGCAGTGGTGCTTGAACCCAAGTCTGTTGCTGAACTTGGCCTTGTTGTGGCTGAACTAAGTTAGAAGCTCTCATCTGGGTGTGTTGATGCATGGAACTCTGGGGCCCAATTTGCTGCTGTGTTTGAGTCCAGGGTTGGGGTTGAGCTTGAGGATGCATTTGCGGTTGAGTATATGATGGCCCCATATGAGAAACCCTATGTTGGGCAATTTGGGGTGTTTGCTGGGCCCACTGTGATAGAGTCTGAACTGTAGGATAAGCCTGAGAATGTGTTGCTTGGCCCATTTGCTGAGGATATGGTTGCGGGATAGGGTGACTCTGCTGGGGAAATGCTTGATTTTGTGTTTCTTGTTTATCTGTCCACTGCTGAGATGTGGACTGAGCTTGGGCATAACCCTGGGAGTATAACTGAGGTTGCACTGTAGCTTGTGGATGCTGGATAGACTGGGGGACTGAGGATCTGACTTGAGTATAAGCTTGAAAGTGCCCCTGTGAAATATGGCCTTGTTGCTGGACCAGTGGCTGTGCATGTGTTGGATACTGAGTCATAGGATCAGTCAAAGAATGACCCTGAAGGTGGAGTATAGGTTGGGCTTGGGTTGGATGTTGAGTCAATGGTTGGGCCTGACTTTGCCTGGCCATTGGCTGAACATTAGTTGGAACATGGGCATGAGCATGGGCTTGTGGGTAGGGCATTGACTGGGGATGGGTCTCAGACTGATCAGCATAGATTTGAACTTGGGTCTTAGGCTGAGGGTGTGTTTGAGGTTGGACCTTGGGCTGAGGGTGAATTTCAGGATCATTCATTGATTTTGCATGGGTTTGGTCCACGTTTGTTGACTGAGTATGCATTGGAGGCTGAGCCTGGGTTGGTGGCTTAGGGGAAGGGGGCCGGACAGGGGCCCATGACTGTGGATGACTACGGAGCTGAATGTGAGATGGTACAGGAAGCTGAATTGGGCCTTGCAGTGGAGCCTGAATAGTGGAAGGCTGTCTGATCTGAGCCCATATTGGGACTTGAGCTACAGATTGGTCATGGGGTAGTACCTCTGGCTGCTTAGATGGCTGAGGACCCGCTGGTTGAACCAGAGCCTGATCCTGTAGCTGGAGCTGTTGTTGGGTCTGTGGCTTGGTTGATGACTGTTTCTTCACAGAGTCATGGGACTGAGGAACACATGGTTGCTGTGTATCTGTAGTAATGTGGGACTGAACCATAGTATTGGTTTGTGATTGATTTGGGGCCTTTCTTTGTGGTTGAGGTTGACTCAAGGTTACAGCATGTGATTTATTTTTGGTATTTGATTCT